GGGGCATTAGGACCCACATGGACTGCAGGGTGAGCACCCCCTGCTGGCCCCACTAACACCTCTTCATAACGTACAAAAAAGTGTTTTATTTGCATTGCAGGAAAATTATATAAACAAAACACTATCTTCTTTTTGACATTTAACTAAACTTCTACAACTCTCTCTATAATTACCAATCAGCCTAAACTACATACTGGCCTCAAAACACTATCTTTCCCAAACTCATATCAAACATATTCAGTTCCACACAGAATCCTTCAGTTCCGGGAATATTTTCCTCAGAATCGCTTTCTTCCCACACAGGATTCTTTCTCTTCTGCTCCCTTCCCACACAGCTTGCTTTCTTCTCTCTTGGAAGCCCCTTCTTCCTGGCTTTCAATCATTACCTGACCAACTGTCTTCTAGCAACTGGACAGGTGACTGAAGGCAGCAGGATATTCCCTACAGTTTTTTAGGGTAATGTAGTTTAGGCCAGAGGTGCCATCTTGCCTGAGCCTGTTGTCCTCACAATGAGCTAAATCCATAAACTAGTCAGCCTTTGTTCTCCAAAGATTGGAAATGCAGTCACAAATTCTCATTATTTTAGTAAGAGGCTTATCTGCCATGTGCTTATGTGCTGACAGTTAGATTTTCTACAATGTCAAAATTGTCTTGGAAGAGCAATAACCAATCTACTAGTTTTAACAACCTCACTGACACCTAGAATTAAAATAAATGATCAGACTCAGACATTTCTCTTTTCATTGCTTTGAGCCATGAAACAAAAACATTTCCCTATTCATGGCTTTGAGCTGTTCTTTAGGACTTGCATAAAGTCTTATCTTGTCACCTCATTTTCCTAGTGTGATCATAAAGTGATCAGTACATGCAGGGCAGGGCTCAATGTGTGTAGTAACATTTGCTCTATGGAAATGTTTTAAGTACATGAAGTGCTAATATTAGCCCCTTTTGGTTTTTTATTTAATAGGAAAAATGTCTGATTTTGATCATTTATTAGTTCTGGGTGAGAATGCACGCCATCTACCCAGAATGGATGCTGATTAGAGAAAAAGGTGAAAAAAACACATCCTTTCAGTGTTGCATGGAAGAATATTTACAAAGCTCCATTACTTTATACAGTAGTTCCATAAAAACAGGAATTATATGCAGCATAGAATAAACTATGGTTTATTATTTTCTTTGTCCAATTAGGCCATGCCAATAA